CAATATATGAGGTGACCGTTAAGGCCCATGGACCTCTTGTTTTGTTTATAATCAAATTTTCTTAAATAATTTGCTCTCCATTTTAGTCAGAATGTGTAACTCATACAAAAGATTGGTTTTTTGAAGGATAAATTCATAGTAGGTATTGTATACTGACTACTGGCAGCAGAGTATTTGAGAAATGCTTGTTTTCCTGCAGGTAATGCAAGCTCCATACATACTTGTCAAAGAGCTATGGCGGAAAACTGCCCGTATTTCCCTAAGTTGGCATTATTGAAAAACGGAAAAAAATATTGATGAGTTAATAATCTTTAGTAGCAAAATTGCATGGAATATAAATAAAACCAATTGAATATGCATTTTTGAACTGTTGAGATATTCGGTATTGTTAATATAATACTGTAAATAAAGCCATATTCACTATATCTATGAAAGTGACGGGGTTTCACAGACTTAAAATAATACTTTCAATACTTTCCCATCCGAGGACCATCTTTTGAATAAACTTTTTGATTCCGTGATGTAATATGCAAAAACAAATCGTATGACGGAAAAGTGGTCCTCCTATGGGAAAGTGCTCAAAATCATGAAAAACTGGGTTGATCAAGTTTTTAAAACTGCGACAGATGTTTCTTGGTTTAAAGCAGTTTGTAGTTCCATTTTTGTCTTTGTCCGATGTAGCCTAATGTGTAACGCAGTTAGCTTGTGACCAGAAAATGTGAACATTGTAGGTTCGGATTCACATTCCGATACCCTTTTTTTTATTTATTTTTTTAATATTTAGGTATGTGATCATTTTCCTTCATTAAGTGATATATTTTTTTTCAAATCGATAGAACATTTTATTGATATTTTAATAACATACCTATCGATTTATATTCTATGGAATCATGTCAACAAATCCCTGTATGTGTGTACAGTACAGCTACGCTTTGTAGTTGAGACATCATTTTAAATATTTATGAATTGATTTCCCTCCAATTGGCACTAGTATTTTTATTCATTATCTTAACGCAAACAAACGATGCCGAAATACAAAGTATATGGGATTGTTGCGTCGGAATAAAAACAAAGGCAAAGCAAAAAAAATGAAGTGTTATTATCACAAAGATATTACCGAACATGCGGGAAAATTCATCGTCGAGGCCAGTCTCATTTGTTTTAAATGCAGGAAGACTGCAGCACAAAGTTAGGAGCGCAATACACGTGTAAGACATGCTGTTCGAAAATTATATGTAATTTTATCATACCAAGGTAAAGGAAGAACAAAATCAAGATGTGTGTTTTTTAGAAAACATGTAACGGCGTGACGTAGGCAGAAGTAATGAAAACTAAATCATTTCAAACTTGTTAGTAATGATTTTACGATCTTGTGTTTTATACAGCATAACGCGAAATACGCATTTTGTTGATTCTTTATCGTGAAATGCATGTATTAGTAGCCATGGCCTTGCATTCGTCTGTTTACAATAATCTATTCTTAGACACGGGATTCCGATAGATTTACCTGTATAGAAATACCCGAGGACGCGTCATAACAGTGCACGGTTGGAAGCGCGCACTATAGCGGATCATAGCTTTGGGGAAATAGGCATAGCAAATCGCCATAGCTTCGCATGCGCCCCATCTATATATAAACCGCGGCTTTCACCTCTGGAAAATGAAAATCATATCACCTTAAATCCTGGGTAGAACCCTGTTTGTTATATATAATTTTTTATATTGCCGTACTTTTAAATAATCTGTGGAAATTCTTGAATACAACAGAATCCATTGGAACAACAACAAGCATATCTGTGTCATCATTTCGATTCTGACAAACCACAATTTTTTTTTGTTTTTTTTTTCGTAGTGATGTATTCATGAAGTTGACGTCAATCACATGCAGAGACCTTCGGCGTGACTGGGCAGAAGCGCAGCCATTTCCCCCTTCAAATAACCAGCCAACCAATAGTACATGTTTCGGCACGAGGCTGACGTCAACCTCATGAAGTATACAAAAAGTCGCTCTATGACTGCGAAAAACTTTAAAACTCTTAAATGGCGTGTGTGTTTTGGAGGAAACGGTGACGTCTTATCTTCCCGAAAACACACACTTCCAAGTCTCGTCTTTTTGCGCTTTTAGGGGCAAAAAGACAAAACAACTAGATGACACAAATCAGACTACGTATGTAATGCTTGTTTTATTTTTTATTTCGAAGTTAATTGATTCAATGTCGGAATATCAATTCTGAATGGAGTCAATACCAAACAATCTTAGACACAAATATAAGTTTTGATTTGTATGTTTAGAAACGCTATACATGTACATTTCAAAAGCATTTTCTTCTTAGAGAGTGAACTTGTACTTTAAACCAAAATGATGTTTTGTTAAACAAAGTGAACTATTTCAACATTTTCAGATAAAGAATCCTGCTTTCCTTTTCACTTGTCTGTCCGCCACAGCCGAGGCCCTTATGGTCGGTGGTCTAGCGACCTTTGGATCCAAATTGTTGCAGGAGTTCTACCATGTCGACCTTACCAAAGCTGGTCTTATAATGGGTAATGGACTCTCTCTGTCCACCACAATATTGTAAAATATGTCTGTCACATCATTACAGCACCTTAACATATTTAAATGGTAACTGCAAAGAGATGTGTCATAATACAATATTATATGTTTTTTCTCCAAATACTTCCTGTTGGCAAAATGTTTCTTAAACGTCCATTGTTAAATATCGCATATTAAGGACAGCAATGACGTAATAGCAAACTGTAATGTTTATTTTACATCAATATTCAATAATTAACGTCATTGCCTTAGTAAATCTGGTCAGTAGCAGCTGTCTATGTTTTTTTCTCAATCGATGTTATTGTTGACTGAACAGGTCTAATTACCATTCCCGGATCTGGGGGAGGGATGTTACTTGGCGGATATCTCGTGAAGAGATTCGACTGGAAATTCCAAGGAATCATCCGGTATTGTGGTATATGTATGTTTATATGCATGTTGATTGCTCCATCATTTCTCGCGAGCTGTCCAAGTCAGCCGTTAGCCGGAGTTACTGGAAACTACAGTGAACATACTCTCCTTCCTAAAGATTTAATAAAGAGAAAGTAAAATGTGATGCCATGTAATAGCTCAGAGAATATCTATCACTTATCACATATGATAAAATGAACCGATGGCCATAATAACACTATTTGTCCTGCATAAATGTATTCTATATATACTTTTCTCTGTTCGATTGTAGCTCTCTCACTGGACTGTCGGCTGACTTTAACCGGGACTGTCACTGTACCACGGCCAGGTACGAGCCGGTCTGTGACGGTAACCATACTGTCTATTTCACGCCCTGTCACGCCGGATGTACGGCCGTCAACGTCAATAGTGACGTCAAGGTGCGTTAGCCAATCAGTATTCCCGCGTTATTTACATTGAAGATATTTGCATCATGAGTGATGATAAATTTGTAATGGCGACGAAAAAGGCTTTTATATACATTTCAATTAGCAACGGGTGCCTCAAAATTAAACCATGTTAATATCATAATGACATGGTTTATTTGAGGCATCCGTTGCTTTTGAAATGTCTATCTAAGTATACAGTGCCTTGTTCTTTGGTTGATTTCGCCATTTGACAACCTTATTCTAGAAAATATGCTTTATTATCATATACAGTTCGTTCAAAATTTAATTAAAGAAACATTAAAAAGCAAAGAAATAGTTTCAGAAAGAAATCGCAAATAATTTTTTTTATGACTAGTGCAGCTTACAAGCCATTGAGTTGTGTCTTTGAATGTTATAAATACAGCATGAGAGATGCCTTATGTATTGCATTCCTATACTTTATCTGGCCATTTGATATTTGAAAAAATGATAATCAAAATACTTGAAATCATCGTTAATAGATAGAAATCCATATCTAAACGACCGCCGTGTTCCAGTTCAGACGTTGATAACACACTTCACGGCATTGGCATATAAAAAGAGGTCAATATAAATGTTATTTGCTCGGAGTACATTGTTCATATAGGGTATTTTCTAACCATTCCATTAGAGTATACTTCAATTCGAGAAATGCTGGAACATGTAATTAGTCGGTATCTATTAAGGGTTTTATTTTAACCATCAGGAATACCTTAACTGTAGCTGTATATTGGAGGGAGTGAGTACGTATACCCTATCGTCGGAGGAGGAGTTACGGAGTGACGCGATAGGATGCTCCCATATGGACCAGTGTCCGTGGTTCTACGTATTCTGTGTTCTGTTATTCCTCAACATGCTGTTCACTTTCATGACCATGCCGGCAAGTACTACGGCAACATTCAGGTGAGACATATCAGCACATTTCATTCACTCCTTTTCGTTATCCGAATACCTTTATATCTTACGGGACCACTTTCGTTTATCGCGATCCAAACGGTTGGACCAGAGTTATTCTTTTATGAATTAAGTTCGGATCTAGAAGTTATGCTGCTTTCAGACGAGTCTTGACAAAGCCGTGCATAGCCTTCATCAGCATGTTCAGGTTTGCCAGGGTTTATACCAGAAAATGTTACATATAAGTTAAGATAGTTAAGATAGTTAAGATGATTCAGTGTTGGCTACGCCAAATACTAGACTGAATCAGTATTGAACATGTTATCAGTTTTTACGACAGGAAAAAGAACACAGAATCGTTTCTTACATTTTTCGTCTAAAATTGCACTGTGAACATCTGTGATAAATATATAGGCAAATAAAAGCTAGAATAATATACACATAAGTCAGCAATCAATTCTAAATCAAAAGGGAAGAGAGTGAAGATTATAAAATTAATTCTATAGAATGTTGTACAAGCACATTATCATTCCATATTCCGCAGAATTGTTTCTTTGAAGACGCTACGTTATTCGGATTTTACCTGTATTCTAATATCGGGTGTCGTTGACGTAGCAAAAGACGTTTTCCGTTCTGGATTTTTTTAATGATGTTCATGTTATTTGTTTTTGTTTGTTTATAAACTTTGCCCTCGTTTAATCGATATATCGTTAGAATAATATTTTTCTTTCCTTTTAATGACTCGATTTGTAAACTTTGTCAACTTCACAAAAAATCAGCAAGGACATCATATCATGATATACAAATTTGAAAGGGCTTCAATTACTTGACAGACGTGAGTGTATAGTACTGCATATACTCTTCACTGTAAATTTATCAACGCAATACAATTTTCCTAATGCACACATACTTCAGAAACAAATGTTTTTTGCTAGCAATATACAGAATGTAGTCACAGCATAATTAGTGCCAAACGCGCACAATAACGTTAATATTTATATTCTTGATATGAAAAGACTTTATTTCCATTTTGTAACGAGCTATGACCTTCTAAAACACGATCATTGACAACTGGTTTTCTATCAATGCTTTGCAGAAAAGCTTACATATTTGTCTATTTGTATTCCTGTACGTTATCAAAACACCGTAAATGTCAATGTGCATGAAACGTATGCGCAATAATTGACTTGATCATATTTTTCTGCAGGTGTGTTCAACCACATCAGAGATCACTCGCCATCGGGGTTGAGTTGTTGGTAGTAAGACTGTTAGGTAAGTTTATTATGTGTTAAGTAGTAAAGCTAGCCTTGTTCCATGAAAATGTTCATTAAGCTCGTATCAGACCTAACTAGCGTCACCCGTTATCATAATCTCTTTCTTACATCCTGACTACTTGACAAACACTTAGATATTCTAACCCTACCCAGACCCATTACCATAAACGTATACCATTAATTACAAGTATAGGCCATTTATTGCACCACACTCTCATACACATGAAAATGAAAATGGAATAGATTTAATTCTACGGAATATGACATGTTTTTTTTTTTAATTATATCACATCTTGATATACCAATTCTGGACGAATACTAACTCGACCGGTGTCAGAATGTCGGGCTGAGAAAAGGTTACATGTTTTTTTTAACATGGGCTCATCACAGTATATTTTTGGTAAAATATCACTATTTAATAGAAATCTACCATAATGGTTTAACATAAGTGTTTAATAATTTAAAACATTTTATCAATACCACAAGTGAAATTGAAATGAAAAAAAAAAGTACTAAAACATGAACAAAACACAAATAAACAAATTATTTTGGGCTTCGGTTGAGGCTATGATCATGTAAAAGTAACACGTATAGTCGAATAACTTACACCTTTAATACTATTAATGATGTTGCGATTAATTAATATGCCACTTCCGGTTTTGAACGTTTTTTATTGGCTATAAATCATGTCTTAAAATAGACCAGTTCTATATCTACACGAACAACTGATATCCCTGGTAAACTTAAAACACACTGGGTGGGTTTTTGAAGCAAATCAAAAAGCAAATAAGATCGTTTCAATTATCATGCTGTTTGGATACTAGTATTGTTAAGCCATTTAAAAAAATCCTAATAAGGAGAGACGTGGCAAAATTTTCATCTACCAAAATCTGTTGAAAAGCCACCGATGATTTGTTCATTAACTAAATGCCGTGTTTTGATTACATTACGAGCATTTGATATTAAATGAATCACCAATCAACAAACAGATGAGTACCTTAATTTCGGCATACAGTGTAACATTTAAATAGTTTGATATAATCTTCGTCAGGGACAACGCCAGGACCAATACTGCTAGGAGCAATAATAGACAGCGCATGCTCAGTGTGGCAGGACAGCTGTGGACAAATCGGATCATGTTGGACGTATCGGAAGTTCGATCTAGGCATTCGTCTCATGGTTTGGTTTGCAACGCTGAAACTATTGGGTGTCATATTTGCCACTATTGCATACAAAGTGTATGTGCCTCCCCCCGTTGAGGATATTGCTGCAAATGTGGACGATAGTTAAAAAGGTGGTTTCAACTAGAATGTAAATTGTATCATATATAAAACTCTGTAACTTATTAAGATCTAAAAGATGTTCGTCAATGACGAATCAAATGCATATTTCTAACAGTTGAATACTTACTTTTTTTTCCACCGAGAAATGACAACTGCTTCCATTGATTGTCAGAACACAAGGAATCGCCTACCTTCTATAGCTATAAAAATAAGAACTACTTGCTTGTATCTCATTTGACCCCCTGAAATTGAAATGGAAGACACCACAAACTTCCCTTCGTCAGCTTTATACTTTGGCTCGAATCTGAAGTATAATGGTTATCTGGCCACCTATTACCAAACACTGACAACGTGACGTCATTAATTTCACAACCGTTAACTATCCTTTCCTCAGATGTAAAATACCAGCCTCTCCTGTTAATGGAATATACATGTTATAATTAATTCGCTACTCTCCAGCATGTCAAAGTATCCGGATTTATAAGTTCGATACGTTGGCCAATACATCACGTAACCAATGTTATCTAGCGGAGCGACATTAACCTACACTGACCTGATTTCCAGTGATGATCTTCGACCATAGTTGCAGATATGTTTTTAAATTTTTGTTTTCATTTTTCAGGCAGAAACATACATTTATATTTTACATAGTAATATAAATATACACAAACACACACACATATACAAAGCATACATACATACGTACATACCTGCATACATGCATACATATATACATACATACACATATACATACATACATATATAGCATACATACATACACATGTACACACAGACAGAAACAAACATATATTTTACATAGTAATATAAATATACACAAACACACACCCATATTTATAGCATACATACATACATACGGACATACATGTACGCATACATACATACATACATACATACATAGCATAGCATACATAGCATACATACATACATAGCATACACACATACATATCATACAAACATACATATGTACACACATACACACACTAGGAACTGGAATACGTAGCAGAGAGGGAACGCTTATTTTGCACGCATAACCGTTTGCCTATTACCCCCAACATTCTCAGTAGCCTTTCAGTAGACTCTGTCGCAAATATGATAGAATCCAAGTTCACTACTGAACCCTCATGGAAACCAGCAAAAACATCTACTGATGGCGATTGCTTTTCTAACGCTGTGTCCCTTTCACTTGTTTGAAATGAAACTCTATCACCCCAATTTCGAAACAGAACGTGTCTAGAAATGATAACCATTAGAGAATCTGTTTTGAACCATCCTCGGCGTAGTAGTTACGCTTTGCTATCTGGCGAGGAAGCTTGTATGAGTTGTGCTGGCGAAGGAAATGGATATTCGAGTATGTCTTATCAATCTGATGATTGAATAATTGTGGAATCGACAAAAAAGTCACATCAACTCCAGACCAGTCCCCAAATCTCAAAACAAAATCATCAAAACGTCAATCTGAAACGTTCGACCAACCCAGAAAGAAAAAAAGAACAACAGCTTCATTTTCTGACTCTTTCGAGTCTATAAACAAATTTCAGTTGTTATCGTCATGTGATTCAGATAATTATGACACACACCAAACCACATTCAAACAAAATAAAACAAGCGTCCAAACAAAACATTCATTCTTCCTAAAAAATATTGTCAGATAGTTCATTTTCAGACTCATTTGAATCTAGACATGTGTTAGAAACAGCCGGCGATTCAAGTTTTCAGTCTCAGTTGGAACATCCCGACATTGTTAGTGATAGGACCAGTGTATTAAAGAAGGCACCAATATCAGGGAAATTTATGACAAATGAACACATAATGGATGTATTTACGGATAGTACTACAACAGCAAAGACAATACCGTCAGGTCCAACAGACAATGTGTATGTTGTCATTGGTATCTCAAGAAACACTGGAAAGGGTAGATCAAACTTTCCCAATGACAGGAGAGCATGGTGTTCTAAAAGCGGATCAACCGCCAATTCCAATTACGCTATAACTACAGAAAATAAGCTATCAACAATCTTTAGAAAAGATGAAAAGTTTCATGTAAAAAGACAGGTTAAGGGAAAAACAGTTTTTGAACCTTTTACTCCACAGCCAGAAAGATATGCATAGGTATTGCACTAGTCTTAAGGATGACACCAAATATAAGAAAATGGTAACAACCATTACACGTGCACCGCCCGATTTACAACATCTGACAACCATGGCATTGGTAGAGTATTCAGGGTAAAGAGTAACAGGGGAATCCCAGCCACATGGCGATTCCAAAACAACCAATAATTATGTCAAAACAGACCCTCATGTTTTGGATGATTGTGCTGCCCTAGCTCAAAATAAACCAGCCACTAAAGTGTGTTACCTCAGAGACAAAGATAACAGTGTGCTAGGTCCTCAATCAGCAAGACCAATTCGAGATAAAGTTTATTGAGACCAGAAAAAAACCCAAAAGGGTCCAAAGTTAGTTAACAACAACATAGCAAATGAGGTTTTGGCCGTCATTTCTCAAATTCACTCAAACCCTTCCATTCAAAAAGTTGAGCTAGGGAAGCACAAACTTCCAAACATCATATTATATACCGAGGAACAATTATTGGATATTAAAGCCAATTGTTTAGGTGAAGGTGCAAGTGTATTGGGTGTAGATAGAACATTCAGCTTGGAGAAATGTTTTGTAACTACAATAACGTACAAAAACCAATGGGTTGTGCACACATCAACAAAAGAAAATACTATTTTGTTAGGCCCCATTTTTCTTCATTTGGATGCGGATTTCAAAACACATCATTCTTTTTTCTCACATGTACGAGCCCAACTAGGTACTGGTATTGTCACAATTGGGAGTAACGAAAAGCGTGAAATGACAAATGCTTAACATGACAGTTTTCCAAATGGAAACTTTTTGCTGTGTACAAAACACATTAAAGAAAACTTGAAAAGGTTCCTTGAAAAGCGCGGTACATCTCTGAAAGACAGACAAAGCATTTCTAGTATCATTTTTGCTGAAGACGGTATTGTCCACCACCAAAAACAGAGCTGCAGGAAAAAAAACAGGCCATCGTCGACGGTGCAAGTCCGGGAAAACAAGATAAAATGCCACTTTCATGCAACCCATCAATATTTCGTATTTTGATTTAAATTGTAGTGCACTACCCCTTCGTTGATAACACATATAGTCAAAATGCATATTTTTTTTGTCTCAGTTTCCGCGTGTCGGAGCCATACTTCATGGTAATCTAGACATAAAATTGCATTTCAAAGTACGACTATTTATCTGTACTGATCTTTTTAATCTTAAATAATATGTTCTTTTTAGTATTTATGTATATTTATAAATAATGATTAGATCAAAGTTATGCATATTTTTGTCTCAGTTTCCGCGTGTCGGAACCATACCTCATGGTAATCTAGACATGTAATTGCATTATTTATATAGTAAAATTCTTGGTAATTTTAATCTTACTTCGTAACAAATGTTTTAGTTATATATTTTTAATTATGTATTCGTTTTATTTAGAACAATCAGTAATTGTGAAATATGTTTATCTGTGAATTGTTTTTATCTATAAACTATACATATACTATATCTTTCTAAAACGTACTGTGTTACCTTACTTCTGAAATAAAATATGTACGTAAAAACGTCTTTCGTTTATTATTGTATTATACATACAAATTACATTGGACAGATATTGAAGTCCTAAATCCCGAAACCAGTCAAGTGCATCTAAACATGCGTGTTCATCAATGCTAATCAATGAAGTACATTGCGTCGGGACAATTTCTTACGGTATTCCAATATACCAATAAATACGAGTTACTTCCCCTTAATTGGTAGCATAACTCCGGGTTTTTTTAAAAAGAAAAGACTTAAGCATTCGTCTTAGATCATTAATTACAATAACATAGATTTGAAGGTGTTTTGGGGTAGTTTTGGGTGGATTTTTTTTTTTGGGGNAGAGAGTGTCATCTTATTTTCCTTGTTCAAAGATGTCCTATTGTATGACATGCGGAAAAACTAAGGTAAAACTTTGACCGAAAGTTGGTTTCTGGAGGTACCAAAAGGGGTAGGGTAAATCACAAATATAGTTTGCTGTTTTTAAAATGAGCTTAAAAACCATAATATTACCATTTCCAGGCACCACAATTTTGGATAACTTTATCATAAACTTGTGTAAAAAAGAAAACTATTTTCAGTGCTTATTTACATACGTATTCTTGTTAAGAAATATTGATCAAAATTAAGTCGCAATTTTTTACATTCGATGAAAAATAATCAATCATGTTATGGTTACACCTGAATGTCCTAGATATACATTTTTTATGCAAGTTTAAAATCCTAGAAACTATCCATTTTTAGCAGCTGTATATATTAGGTCGATTGAGCCATTATAGGTGTATTGACCTGCAATGGGGCGATGGGACACATACCATGATAACTGGGGCACATAACTAAGTCCAACAAAAAATTCCACTTTCTTTCCGTTGTGTCTATTTCTCATCCAGCGCAGAGCTCATCCATTACACGCTAGAAGGCGGGACACAATGGTGGCATAACAGACAGGCGGAGTTTTCGAGGTTGTACCGGAAGTAAACAAAGTGGACTAGTTATAAAAGATATGTCAGGAGTTTTTCGGATATGTCCTCAAAAAACCCCAAAAAAACCATATCCATGCACGTACTGAGGTCGATAAAAGGCCTCTAGGCACCGGACTTCTTCTTCACGAGGAAGACCCGGGAGTAAAACCCTGGATACCACCGGTCCGGTGAAAGTTCCTCGATTGCGCCCTTCGCGATCATGGCCTGAACCTCCGACCTGAAAGACTCCAACTTTCCCGGATCGGAAGGAGAAGGGAAAAAGATAGGCTCTCGCGGCAGAGGTGGATCCCGAAGGAGCGGGATGCAGAGACCCTTGGACACAACACCTAGGGCCCAACTGTCTGAAGTGATTTCTTTCCACTGAGGAACGAAATGGTACAGCCGACCGCCTACTGGCAAGTCCGGAAGGGGCCGATCTAGCCATTCCCAAACCACATCGGCGGAGCCTCCCGCGCCCAAGGGCGTGGGAGCGGCGACAGACAGTGGACAAGAAGTTAGCAAGACAAGGAAGAGTCAGGAACCCTTCCTACCTCTGAAAAATTTGGCTCTGCCTCGACCCCTATGGGAACCCCTACCGCGGAAGGAAGATTTCCGACGTAGTCCGATAGGAAACGCCGACTGGCAGTCCAGAAAGGACCGACAACCGGCCGGCAACAACAAGGTGTGACATGACACCCGACAGTAAGGCCATCGCATCAAGATGTGCCTTGCAAATTGCCTGGCTGAGGCGCTCCATCAGTCCAGCCTTGTTGGGGAGCTGCTCCACCGACTTGCAGCTCGCAGCCAGCAACGCAGAAGTAAACCAGTCTGCGTAGGACAGAACATGGAGAGCAAGTCTAAGGAGACGCTCCAACTTAGAGTGCTCCCTAGGCCCCATCACAACCTGGTCAACACAGCGTCCCGGCCACTTATCTAGATCCCTCTCAAGTTAAACGGAATTAGGGGCCAATACTGGGTCGTGGATGCGGTACGTATCTGCAGCTAAATCTGCGGCGATATCAACAACCACGACCTGTAAAGCCGAGAGGGAAAAAGGCTTGTGCGCCTTGCTCACCTTCTGCTTTTATAAAGCGTTGACCTGAGCGAGGGACGAAGCCACGCCTCGTCCCCCCGCAAGAGACCTAGCAGAGGCCGAGGAGGCAGATGCTAGGGGAGGCAACATGCTCTGAAGGAGCGAAGTGCGCTCCGGGACGGCCGAATCCGAGGAAGGGCGTTGGCAAACCCCGTCCCCAGAAGCTTCATTACTTCTGCACGTAAAGTGCGAAACGAAGCCGAAACCTCTGGAGGCACCGGATCAGCATCTCGGGGCCGGGATTGGGAAACATCGGAAGGGCCTTCCGAGTCCAACCCAGACGAATCCAACGACTCCAAATCAGAGTCAGAAAACTCGCCGACTCTATCCTCATCCCGAGTCTCCGTAAAATTGGAGCAACCGGGAGAGCCCCGAGGAACGTCCCTCTCATCACTAGGAGAGGCATCCGCCGAATCCACCTCCATCAACGTCACCCTCCGAGGAGGGGTGCGAGGAGGGGAAAGAGAACGTGACCTACCAGAAGGAACTATCGGGGCAAGCGATAGTCCCTGAGAGACAGCAGTAGCAGGATCAAGAGACCCTGGAACCTGCTGTAAGGTAGGAGTTGACGCAGGACAGCGGAAGTTACTGGTAGACTTGAATTCCAAAATAGGAGCTCGAGACAACGCAGCACGACCAGCAGCCCTAGCATCACGCGGTCTCTGCCTGACAGAACCGGCAGCAGAAGCTGGCCGGGAGCGCGAACGCTTACGCGAACGGCTCGGTGGCGGATGGAGGGGGG